GCTGTGACAAATCCCAATCCTTACTTTCCTTTCAGTCCTTTTCGGGTCAAATGTCAAGATGGCTGACTTGCTAGCTTGTTATCGGTTGTGTTTTTTTCATTTTGTAGAAAAAATATCAAATTCAATCGATGAAGGTTACACAACTACAGGAATTTTCTTAGATCTCTCAAAAGCATTTGATACAATCAATCATGAGATATTACTTACAAAATTAGACTTCTATGGTGTTCGAGGTATACCCCTTACCCATACCCCATTGGATGGAAAAATAGATGGTACCGCATTAAAAAAGGTGAACGAAACAAAATTTCTTGGGATAATAATAGATGATCAATTAAAATGGAAAGCACWTATTGGCCACATATGCTCTAAAATCTCAAAGGGAACAGGAATCATCAATAGGATAAGAAACTTTCTACCAAAGTCAGCCCTAAAAACACTATACTASTCATTAATCTATCCATATCTTCACTATGGTAACATCATCTGGGGTAGCACTTATCCAAGCAATTTAAATAGACTACGCATTATCCAGAAACACCAGAAAAAGGTTCTAAGAATGATTACTAACTCTCCATATCTTAGCCACACTAATCCATTATTTCACTCAGAATCAATTCTAAAGATTGATGATATTATTCAACTAAACATTGCCTCCTTGATGTATCTCTTTCATACTAATCAACTACCCAAAGCGTTTAGACTAAACTCAGAAATACACTCTTACAATACAAGGCAATCTCGCAACTATCACACTGAATTTAAAAAAACAAACTTGCTCAATTCTCAATCTCATATGTAGGACCATTAATATGGAACAGACACAACAAATTACTTGTAAATTGTAAAAATAATATTTCAAATTCAAAAAACTACTCAAAGAAGAGTTACTTTCCAACTATAAAAATAATTACAAATTTGTTCACAAATAGCAAWCTTTATTCTATATAGCAAAAATGATTCAAAACATATTGATAGGATAATATATAATAATATTAAATATACATATGACATGTATACGCAACACCATTTTTGTTACTGTTAAGATATATATAAAATTTGATTAAAGCTTATTTTTCTATGATTTTTTTATGAATGATTATAAAAGTAATAATAATAATTATGAATTAATATAATAGCCATTTTGTAAATTACTTAGCTATCTTTAGAAGGGGTCTAAAATATATAAGCATTCACATGCTTTTTTACGACGCCTTTTCTTTAAAATCATTGAAATATTGTAATTTATAATTGGAAAATCAAAAAATTGTAAAAGAATGATTATGAATAAAGAAAGAGTGAATGATTGATTGATTGATAGGACATTTTAAACTAGTGTAACTTGAAAACTCCGGAAATACAGTGAAAACAGCCGGGGGAAAGTTAAACTAGATTAAAATGCGCAGTGTTTTCACTTGTGAAACTCCCGGGGGGTGAAGAAGAAACTGTGCTTAAACCACCGGAAATCGCGTACATTTTAAACGACCTAGCGAGATGGATCGTTAGCACTTACAGTATTTAYTCGAATAGACGATGATACCAGCAATGGGAACTTTTTTATTTCAAAGTGATTGTACTTTTTTGCTCTCAGCAGCTGTTAGATTCCGACCACGAGGAGGACATTGATGTTCAAATAGAAGTTGAAGACAAAATGAACACGACATTTATATATTGAGAATCGTTACTGTTTTTTAGCAAAAAGATACAATAAAAAGTACGGTATGTAGTACTGAATAAAATGTTTTTTAATAAACGCCGTCCCCGAATAGACGCCGCCCTCGAATAAACGCCGCACCTGGATCGTGAAAAATGAAATAAACGCCGCGGCGTCTATTCGAGTATATACGGTATTTAACTGTAAGAAAAAACGTGGAAAAATCAACGGAGAAGCAAGACAACATGATATCGAATTACACCTGAAAGCGTAACTTTGAAGACGATAGTATTGTGGCCCGAGAGTATCGTCAGACACCAGTGATACATGCATAATTAGTTTTTGCGATTATGATTTTGTGGAACCCATACCCTTAAGTCACAACAACTCCTTCTTAAAGAAATCGTAAACATGGGTTAAAAATATTGAAAAATCATAATTTTCTTAAAAGAAAACAAATCAGAAATAAAAAAATGCAAGAAATCAAGTTAGATAGCATCTGGAAAATAGTAGAAAAAAATACAAAACTTCTTTTGTTGTCTATCCTGATTGCATTCTTTCTGAAAAGAGCACATTTCCTAGCAGAATAACCGTCGATTATCGACGTGTCGAACTATACCCACAGCTGAAATAAAATTATATATTATAAATTAACTTGTTGTTGTGATATCCATAGCCTTGATTGAATATCAGAACTTTTACATTAAACGGTCTTCCAAACATCCATTGTATTCTTTTCGGGTTTTGTGTTTTTCACGTTTTATATTGACCATATTGCTCCATATTTTTAAACATCTGTCTTCACCATATGAAGGAGTATATCTCAACTAGAAAATTGGCAGAGTTTTAGTTTCAATTGTTAAATATCACTCCAGCAGGTAATTTGTTCCAGAGAAAGCCACCACAGTGTAAGTAAAAGTTTTATTAGCGAAATAGTCTCCTTCACGGTTACGGTAGCCGTGCTTTTACATCGAAGCGAGACGACCGTTGAGCGTGCAAGGATAGGTACCTGTGAATAATTGTCTGTGAGTGTGAAAGAAGGTTTCTATCATTGCACGCTCAACGGTTGTCTCGCTTCGATTCAAAGGCACGGCTACCTTTCAAGATGGCGCAGGGAACCGTGAAGGAGACTATTTGTTCGCGGCAATGACAGGAAAACTTTATGTTCTATGTTTCTAAGGTTATAATTGTTAAGGTTTTGCTACGATTAGTAAATTTGGACGAAAAATATTCCGGAGCAGAATTGTTTAAAGTTTTAAACATAATTTGAGATTTTTAAGGTCTAAAAAAAATGCAGAATTGACTAGTCCTTTGTTGATGTTCAATGACCAACTATCTAGGTCTGTAATTAACCTTCAGTGGAGCCGTTTTGCATGTATCTGAGAAAGTGAGGTGGTTGAATATAGAGAAACGTATTGAGGAAACATAATATGCGATGACCCCTACCGTTATAATCTATCCSGGCCTAAAACTTTGCCGTAATCCATAATCTTGTTAAATTCTACTTTTCCACCTTAAATAATAACAAATGACAYGTGCTATGCACACGATATGACTAGCTAACTTAATTTAAACGTGCTGCACCTTTTTCCATATCAATATAGTTTGCTTGAAACAATGGGATAGTTAAATTGGACAATAACTGTCTAGAACCATTGATGGACGTGTATCCCATTAGGCTCATGGTTTGCCTGCAGTACTGCTCCATAATAACAATGTCATCAAAAGGTACCTTCAATCTCCAGCGATTTACAGCTTGTCTGGCGTCGTCAATGGTACAAAAGCTGTGATAATTGCCTTTGAGTTTGCATTCTTTGCGGATACCCTTGTTATTACTTCCTTGTGTCCTTTTTTCCAACCATTGTTTAACGCTCTCTTTTTCTGGCAGCCCAGCGAACTTGAAGTATTTTGAGAGAGCCTTCAAAGGTTCGATTGCAAAGTCTTCATATCGCTGGATCATGATACGATTAGACCAAAAAGAAGAAAGRCTTTGAATGGAAGCTAAGTTTTCCTTGGTTTGTTGACAATTTTGCTTGGAGTACTGTCTTAAACCACACTTTCCTTCCTCACTTTTGCCGTCTCTAAAAAACCCGACACTTCGAGAAGAAGCAATTATAGCTCTAGGATCTCTGACTAGAAAAATGACTTTGCAATCAATGTCTGGTTCTATGCAAGCGGCAAGTACATTTTTGATATTTGCCTCGTCAATTCGATCAATGAGTATTTTAATGACTGTCATTTCATAATTATTTCTACAAACGTTTCTCAATCTTYCTCTTGTCAATGGTGGACATGTCTTTGGATCCCATCGTGGATCGGTCATGTCATAAGGACAGAAGGGCGGAGAACCAAGAGCCATACTAGATCTTGGATTAAAATTGTGGTAATAATGCATGAAATCTTGAGTGATAGATTCGCTGAAGTTACAACGGAAAATATTTCTTAAGATATCTGCCATTAGTCTTGCATAAGTGACACCTGAGGTTTTTTCTTGTTTTTTAAATATTCGTTGAACTGTTTGTAGAGGCTCGTGAAGATAGAACACAGATGGATGATGGTTGAAAATATCACCAGTTATTGACGATCCAGAACGACCATGAGCAAATATTATCATGTTTTTACGAGGCTTTTTCTGGTCTTCTTTTACGGGAAAATTATCCTCTGCTGACCTAAACAGATTTCGTTTTTCTCTAGTCTGGATATCTTGATTTGGAGTTCCTGTTTCAGACGGTGTGGTTGAGCCTTCTTCCGGAAAAATACCGTTTGCAGAGCTTCTCATGTAAATCCAATAGGCCAGGACAATTAGAATCACCAGTACATAGAAGAAGATAGCTCTATTTCTAAAAGGTCGCATCATCATTTTAGGAGTAAGAGCAGCTACCACTTGAATGTTCAGTCTTATCTGGTGTTAGATTCGGCTGAATTTAGATTCGGTTAATTTACGTTTCTTAGAAACCACGCCACGTTTTGCAGCATAGTAACACTA